ATACCAGTTGCCAGACATCACAAAATCATATGCTATCTTGTATTGGTGGGTGATTTGAGGGAGGCACGGAATAAGAAATAGTAAATGTCCGATTTCTAAGGAAAAGCCTCTTTCCATTTATGTTCTGTTCAGGTCAATAATGTAACAATTATGTAACGAAATTATATGTGTTAGTAAAATATTTCCCTCCTCTTAGTCATGAACTCTTTCATGACCTGTTTCTGAGTATATATTATCCTGTTGATATGAATTTCTTATTTAAGTTAATACTCTTCACCTTTTAGTCTTAAACCTTCATAATCACTTTTAGCAAATTATTAGGCAAGCAGCCAAGTACTTAATAAATATTTGCTAGTTTATTTTTAAAGAGAATTCAGTTTTGGTCTTTGTTTCATACCGGCTGACATGGATGAGTTCTAGGAGTATGATATCTCTGAGCATGAAGACGGGGGGGATTTTAAATTTATAAACCTGTTTGCATTTTGAAGCAACTTTTTGCTTAAAGATAAATGTACTTTTTGTCCTGAAATATATTCAAAGCTTCTTCTATGCAAAATTGATCATAAAAGTCTTTTTTATTAACTATTATTTTACCTGTGTTCATGAATCTCCTAGTCAATATATATATATAATAATTACTTTTTCTTCGTCATAAAGACTTGTCCTTTTTTTAAACTGTAAAATCGTATTATCTCCTTTAACTTAAAAATATGTAATTTAAACATCTTTATTTTGTTCATTAAAATATTCAAGTATCTATATAAGTTATTTGTGACTACAATATTGAATAACAGAACAAATTGATCAATTAAAATCTTCTTTCACATCCCCTTTTCATTGCTAATAATTTGTTCTTACAAAATATTGTTCTTACTAAATAGTTTGTCATTATATAGTAATGTATGTAAATTCCTATAGATATGAAAAGAAGAATGTAAAATTCAGGCATATCAAGGAAACAGCCTGAAAAATAATTCTTGGTGTTGAGATTATAATAACAAGATTTCATCCCACTCACACTAACAAATTCTCTTCTTCAGAGAAATTAGCCCATTTATGAGAATGTTTTCCTGTTACCAAATTGTAAAAGAAATACCATATAATGAAGAGTAAAAATTTGATAACAAATATACTATGAATATTATACAATGATTAATAGTTATAGTAGTTTTATATATTATAGCTACAAATAATACAATTCTTCCATTGATATATGAATTGTAATTTAGAGTATACGTAAATTTACTGAACACTTAAGTTTAATCATTAATGAGTTAAAATACAGTGTTCTGCATTATTTAGAAACATCTTAAATAGTGAAAATAAATTGTGAGAAAATTTCTTTTATATTTGAGTAAGGAAATTTTTTCTATTTAACAATTGAAATTCAAAGACTAATTGCTTTTTATCCTAAATTTCAACCTAATTTTAGTAAAGCAGACTAAAAATTCATTATGATGGGATTTTGTTTGTACATAAGACACCATATTAATGGAAAATTTCATCTATGATATGTATATACTAAAAATGTGTTGCATTTATTGATTTACTATATCAATGAATATAAATTACTATATTTACTATAGCAATAGTATGTACATTCATATGTGATAAACATAATTCTTTAGAGTATAATATTGTTAGAGTAAAGATTGCTAAAGTTTACCATTTCTTCTGTATTTTAGTTCTAACAAATGTACACTTTTTTGGATATTCACTTCAATTATATTCCTCTGTGGATACAGAGTTCTAACTGTAATTTTAATATCCAATAATTTTTAAATGACATTTTACCCATGTTAGTTATTAAATTTTGATGTCCATATTATAATATTCTCACTAGGGAAAAGGCGATCATTTAATATAACATCAAGTCATATTTTTCATAATTTCGTGCTGTTTTGAAATTTAAGAGGCCCATAAGTTTCAGACTCAGACCTACTCTTTTAAGATACATTTCTTCAATTCCTGAAATGGAATGCTGGTAGACTTTACACTCATTAAATGCAGTTTATCAGATGTCGACCAGTTCAGGAATATCAATGATGACATTGCTGTGCAGTTTATAATCTCTAGTACATCACTTAAATATGTGGGACAGTTTGCTCACAGATTAATATATGAAGTTATGTTATATAAAGTCATACTTTTAATTTGTCTTAACTTTTTTGTTTAAATGAGAATTATGAATGAAATATGGGACTACATAGGATAAAAATTAGTGTTTTACTTTGATTAGAATAATTTTCATTCCCAGAAAAAAAAACATGGAAAATTTCTTGGAGTATGGAAAAACTTATTGAAGCAAAATACAGAATCTAGAAACTACAAATGAAAACTTTAAAATTCAGATACCCTTGAGTAATAAGATAATCCAACATTTGCAAAACATAACAAACATGGAGCTAAGTTCCTTAGTATATAATGCATTTAAATTCAGTGAGAAAAAACCAACAACCTAGTAGAAAATGGGCAAATAACTTTCATAGACAGCTCCCAAAAAACCCCCAAACATTTAAGTATAGACATAGATGCTCAATTTCACCCATAAAAAATGCAGATTAAAATCTATAGTAAAATACCAGTTTTTATCTAGAGGATTGAGAGTTCAATGTGATATTATATAATAATACCTATAATAGCAATAATCTTAAATTTTATTGATAAAGCCTAGGAATATGTTGTTAAAATAGATTCTATGCAGCTGTTAGAATAGTGTGGATTTCTGTGTACTAATATGGAAAAATTAAACAGATATTAAATGAAGAAAGCAAAGTTAAGGTCAGGTAAATTATACATTCCAATTTGTGTAAAGAGAGACCATCTACACACACACACCCACTTCTGAATTAGAAAATGAGGATAATAGTTGCTTTTGAGACCAGAATTTAGGGGTGAACTTTGAGTAGGAAAGGACTTAATTTTCATTTTTTATCCTTTAATTTTTCTCTGCTCTGTTCATGGATTTTTTTAAACATATAAAACAATTCTAAAGAAAGAAAATTCTTAATTTACTAAAACACCACGGTGAATACTGCCTGAACACTTCCTAGATGCCACACAATTTTTGAGCATGTTGGCAAAATTAAGATAGATAAAGTATGGTGTCTACTCTTCTCAAAAACTGGTAAAGTGGTACTGATTTGTAAATAGGATAAAACTCGGTGTAGTAGATTTTCTATTAGAAATGGGGCCAAGAAGCCTATATACTCTTTTGTAGATCTCAGAGTAGTTTACATACTATATAATTGATCTTCACAAAACATTATGGAAAAAATAGAGCACTGTCACCAGAAAAATAATAGGTAAGCCCATTTTCTGTATTTGCTCACTTAATGCTCACATCAGCCTGAGAAAGTGGTACCGTTGTCGTCCTCATTTTATAAAGTACACGAGGGACTTAAGTATCTTATAAAACGTGACACTGCTTCTAATGAGTGCCAGAGCTGGTATTCAAATCCAGGCAGTCTGGTTACAGGATCCTCACTCCTAATGGCTGAACTATTCTACTTAAACTTCATTTTGTAGTTTGAATTTATATCTACTTTGCAAACAAAAGACAAAAAAATCAGACATTAAATAATTAATTCAAGTTTCTACTGCTAATAAATGTCAGAGCCAGTCTGTGGGCTAAATACAGTGATCTCATTTTGTACCATGTTGCCTCTATTCTTAGGGGAGTTCCAAGGGAGGGGAGCAGGGGAAGAGCCATTTTGATAGCAGTACCTGTTTAAATACTAATGACAAATCACAGAATGTGTGGTTTCTCTAAGAAAATTACAGTAAAAAGAACTTACTTCCTTTTTATGAATGTATTTCCTCCATTCAAGTAGTACCAAATAATTTGTTTTGCTCAGGAACTTTGATATGATTTCTTAAGAAATTTTCAAGATCAGGGGATAAAAAACTGGTATTCATTTAAAGCTTGTTTCTGCTTTGTGAAAAGACTTTGTCAGCAATCCAGAATGAGGGCTGTGCTAACAAAATTCCAACTTTTCTGTGGGATGATCCAAAAACAGCAAACAGAAGGCATTAAATTTCTTAACAGTCACAAGTGCGTGCATGCATGCTATGCCATTCCTGTCATTCACTGCTTTTTGGTGTGCATAGATTAAAGTTGGAATACTTTGATTTGCAAACTAATATGTTCCATAGAGAATTTTCTTCGTATAAAAAAATAAAGAGTAGATTAAGAGCGTATGAAGTCTGTGCACTCTGCCCTACATTTATATAGCTCTTCATTGAATATATGTTTTTAATCTGATTTTAGGATATTTGCCTTGACAGTATGCCTTCATACATCTAAGACATTTGCTACATTAAGATCCCAAGTTGTTTCTCCTGCTCAGTTTTGAAGCAGGTTTATACAAGTATTCTGATGTGAAACAGAATGTGTGTGTGTGTGTGTGTATATATATATATATATATATATACACACGATTGTGTATTTTGTATATGTATAAATATATATATATATGATTGTTAAGAAGCATGGCTCAGTGGGTTAAGCAATATCTAATCTTGTCTCATACATAATGCTGAGTCTCAGTAGTGACAAAATCAAAAGCCAATACCAGAATTAAGGACTTGCTTTAAGAATATATAACGAAGGGGATGGGTATTAAGGAGGGCACGTATTGAATGGAGCACTGGGTGTTATATGCAAACAAGGAATCATGGAACGCTACATCAGAAACTAATGATGTATAGTGACTAACATAATAAAATAAAATTTTAAAAAAATTAAAAAACTATATAACTAAGTTGAAGACAGAAATGTATGTACAAATGAAATGTCATTCTGTTTACCTAGAGGTTTTTTGAGCCATCTTCACTTTGATGGCAAAGTCGCTAAAATATTTTCGAGCACAGTATGTATTAACATTGCATTGGTGATTTCCATCCACATTCATAGAATGGCACTGGGTGGAGAAGAGATGTAGATGACAACACATAACCTGCATTTAAAATGCCTTCATTTCTTCTTTTTTAAATTACAGCAAATTCAGTAAAGCTAGAAATGCAGAGTGATGAAGAGTGTGACAGGAAACCCCTGAGCCGTGAAGATGAGATCAGGGGCCATGATGAAGGTAGCGGCCTAGAAGAACCCCTAATTGAGAGCAGCGAGGTGGCTGACAACAGGAAAGTCCAGGAGCTTCAAGGCGAGGGAGGAATCCGGCTTCCGAATGGTAAACTGAAATGTGACGTCTGTGGCATGGTTTGCATTGGGCCCAATGTGCTAATGGTACATAAAAGGAGTCACACTGGTAAGCAGCTGAAAGAATAACCTGATGACTGCCTGTGACATCTGATGTTGATATTACCTGACATCTATTCTCTTTCCTTTTTATTCAGGGGTGGCAGTGGTGAAACTACCTTTTCAGAATTCTGCTAGTATTGGATTGCTGAAAAGCAGAGAGTAGCCTGGGTCTTGACTTCCAGCCTTCAAATCTGAATAGCATATCAGAAAAGAAGTTTGGGATTCAGTTTCCACAGTTCTTAATGTAGCAATAATATGATAAGGGTTCAAAAGGTATAGGAGAATCTCATTGTGTAACTTAATCTTTTTGTGTTTCTATACATATTTTACCATACCCATGGGCAGGTAATATAGTTTGCTAGCTAAGAGTTTATACTATAAAATGGTACTCATGCATTTATATAGAGGTGGATCATTTTCACCTTATCTGGTTAACTTCTTGGAATACAATTTCCAATCAATCTCTGCCTACCATGGGTCTCTGTATTAGGCAGATACTTTCCCTAGTTGAGGATGTTACCATCTTCCTGTAATTTTTTTTATTATAACTCCTGCAAAGAGATATGTAGGGTACAGTATAGTCAAGAGTGGTGGGTATGCTGGTAAGAATGTGTAATCATGGAACAGGGTGAGGAAAGAGGATTCCGATTAATATAATATATACTTTTAGACATTTGAGTAATGTAAAAAAAAAAAAACAGCTAGATGAGGAGAAGGCCTTATTTAAATCTCTCCAAATCCTTTGGCAAAATGAAAAACAAAGTTTTTTAATTTAAAAAAAATACAGAAATGAGATTATGTGTAAGAAAGGCAGATGGTTGACTCTTAAAGTTTTAAGTTCATATGAAAATTGATTTAAAGATGGTACCTTTAACTATAATGCAAAGTAGTATTATATAGCAAAATATTAATCACTAATACTCTCAGAGTTTTAAAATATGTTTCTCTTTGGAAGAGAGATAAATCAGTTTAATTAGTAGGTGCTTAAAACATGAGAGATGTGAGGTACACTGAAGTCTTTTTAGCCCAAATCTCTCATTTACACATGAAGAAACTGAAGCCCCAAACAGTCAAGTGATTTGTCCATTATCCCTTATGTAGTTAGGGCATTATGAGGCTAAAACCAAGGTTTCCTGATGCCCAGACTGGTTTTGTTCAAATATATACTGTACTTGGCATCTCACTGCACCAACATTTAATGATGAGATATGATTATAAGGCTTAAAAATTATAGTAAGAAGTTACACACTAAAATCAATGTTATCTTAATCAAAATCATCAGGTTTGGAACCCGTACCCTTATTCTAACTCTACAGTTACATGTTTACTTTTGGTTTTATTTTTGATTTCCTCTTTAAACAGCATATTTTTATAAATAATATAAATATAATATTACTAGTGTAGATTTTTTTTACCTTAATTAAAAAAATTCTTCTAGAAAAGTTAAAAGATCAAGTTTGGTATTTTATAAGAAAAATAGGAAAAGACTGTAAAATAATGAGTCTACTTTTCATCTCTGCTCATGAAGTAATGTTAACTGCAGTTCTAAAAGAAGAGTTCTACCAAGTTATAATGTATTCATTATCTCACAGTGATTATATTGAGGTAGATAACACCCATTCAATTGTGTAACTAGCAACATATAAACTAAACAAAAGTAGTCTAATGACTTTTCAGTTGAATTGCATATAGTGTACATTTTAAGGCTAAAAAGTATACTAACAACAATTTTTTGTAAGATTTCTAATAAACCTTTTATGGTCTGAGTCAAAATTTAAAGAACCTGAGTGTGCTCTCTTGAATATTTAGGTTAATCAATGTTTCACTGTATTTGCAGTGATTTTCATGAGGATTGTTAGTTTGTAAACACAAGAGTGATTACATACTGACTCTACTGCTTATTTAATATTTACTACCATAGTAGAGTTGAATTATTCTGATTCTGAAAATCATCAGATTGACATGGAAGATGTTTCTGAATAGTTATACAGATTTCCACAAGTTCTATGAATATGGAATTAACTAGTAAAGGCAAGAATGGACAAAATAACTAAAGTCCTCTTGTAACTTCATGAACTTTTATTGTTAATGAATGTTTATTGGAGTATTATAAAAATTACACTTTCCTCAGATCTGGGAAGTTTCTGTTAAATAGCCATTCATAGAGGAGCTTGGGATACCTGCCACATACTATTGACCTTGAAATTGTGATGTATCTTTAAAGTAGCTATTTTTATATGTATTTCTGATGACCCAGTTTATACATTTGAATGGGTCATGACCTTTTCAACTCCATTTTAGTACTCTTCGAGAACAGAAAGTCTATTTGTATGTTTTGTTTTGTTTTTTTAATTTAAACTAGATTGAAAAAAATGTGGTCAGGATCTAGTATTAACCAAATGTTTTCTCATTAATGCCATGAACTACTGTCTTCATTTCAGAATTCCCCCCTCTCACCAATTATTTATAGCTAGTTTAAAAGGCACTGTCTTAAATCCTTATAAAGCCTTTGGGAAACATGTTTGTGTGTCACAGAATATCCAATATAAAATTGATAGTATAAAAATATACACAACAACTACCCAGTTTACTAAGATGACGTGGAGTATCGTATCTAATTCACTTCTCTCTCTTTCAAACTCTACTAAAGTGCCAATTCTAGTGTCTTATAAATGGGTTGGTGTTATTTCTTGGTGTTGCTACTCCAGTAGGTAATCAGGTAATATTGTCATCGGATAATCCAGGCACTCTTCACTGTGATACAGGCAGAATAAAAGAAGTAGGGGTAGTAAATCAATTCATGCTTAAACACGAATTGATGTGGACCATTATAAATATAGACTATCCTTAACTTTACCCTTCTTTGGAGTAGAGTACTCCCATCTTTGTAGCTCTGTGTATATTGTAGCTTTATGGAACCATTCTTTTGCTCCAAGGCCTTCTCAACAAATACTGGGATTTTTCATATTTGTAGGTGGTTGCTCCATCCAACACAGGAACACCCTCTGTCTTTGATTCACCAAAGCAAACTGATGCATATATACTTGTATTTCAGTTGAATAAACACAGATCTAGAAATATGTGTTTATGAAAGTACATAAAATAATGAAATATAATTTATTTCAAAATAAGAATAGATAACTTCATTCTGGGAATAACTAAAAAAGGTCCTTGAGCAGATTTTTTTTATAAAAAATCTAACCAAAACAAAACAAAAAGCAGATTAAGAATGGAAATGAATGATAGCATGGCCACATATTAATTGTTCTCCTGGATTCAGAGTTGTTAATCCAGACTTTTGTACCCACCCATGGGGGAATTAGTTATCACAGATACAATAACCTATTTGATTTTTTCAATTGGATTATACTGTATAGTGTGTTTAGTACATTTGTGGTGTTTTCTTGAAGTTTACTTTTCTTTATTTCTGAATAAGAACATGATTAATATATTTCTTTAGGCAAAGTCTAAACTTATTCGAAAAGGACTAGTTGATTCAGCCTATTTGTTAAAGAAAAAGCAAATTATTTAAAAAATAATTGAGATACATTGTTTCAAGGCACAGACACAATATATGAACCTTCTACTTAAATATCAGCTCATTTTACACATATCTCATAATCCCAATTCAAGATTTAATTCATGTAAAGCAGATCAATATTTCTCAAAGCTTCATCCAGCTGAAATCAAAGTACGTTATTATCATTGCCCCTTTCCTCTTATCAAAAACAGGAACATGGTTTGTTAACCTTCATCATGCCTTTCTTTATATCCCATGGCCATGGGAATATAGTCAGCAAATGTCTCCACACTAAGACACGCTCAGTGACAGACAGTATTTCCTGATATACCTAGACCCCTTTTCATTTCTCCTGCCTCTTTAAGGATGATCATATAAATTCAGAAGTAATCCTATTAAAAATATTTGAAGATATCTGGAATATTTTGTAAATGTAAAAACAAAATTACCCTGTCATTAGTCTCAAAAACTCAATTAGATGAATTTTAAAATTCTTTTTAAAGAGAGTTATCCTTATTATTTTTTCTTTTTTGATTAGCATTACTTGGTATGACAAATTCAGTACCCTAAATTAGGAATTTTTAAATATTTCAATTTTAGGAGGCTTAATGAAAATCTAAGTTAGCATGTTACAGGAGTATTTTCTAAAGGCAAACATGATTTCAAATGTTTTTGTTCACTAAACTAATTTAATTCATTTTGAAGTTATTGCATACTAATTTGGTACTTTCCTGGAAGACCCTACATAGATTTCCAAAGTAAAATCAAGTATTTGGAGTGAAAAGTATAATTTGCATTCGCTATTTTCCTACGGTATAAAAATTCTCATGAAGAAAGTGTATCCTTCTTTTTTATTAATAATTCCATGGCAGGGGTGGGAAGTAGAAATTCCTGATTTTAAAGAGCTGTAGACTGCTATTTCATTGGGAAAAAAAAAGTCAACAAATTTTGTGTGTGTGTGTGTGTGTAAAGATTTACCAGACTTAGATTTATTTTAAAAATTTAGTTTGTAAGACTTCATATAGGGGTTTTTCGGTAAAGTATTTCTATTTTAAGCTGTACTTAGTGTTGATTTAATTTGTCAGTTTCATCAAATGAATCAAGTGAAATAAGATCAAATTTAAGGTAACTTTAACATAATTTTTTTTCAACTTAATACACAAGGACTTTTTGTAAATGTAGTTCAGATCTCCAGATTTTGTAAGAAAAACTTTAGCCTTGCTACACGAACACAAAGATTACATTTTTGGGGGTATGTATCTCATAAAGTTCCAAAATGAGCAAGTAGTACAGAATTTGAGACTCACCTGATATATCAATTTTTAATTTCTTTAGGTTTTATAACAAATCTATATGATAGAATGTGCAGTGGCAACTGCAAGAAAATGGCCAGTTTATCTTCTTTATAACTCCTGGCTTCCTTTAATAGAAAGAATCATTGAGTTTGCATTAATTAAAAGCCTCCCCAAAATATTGAGGTTTCATTATTCACTATTTTCAAATGTTTCAGTTAAAGATATAAAACATGAGAATTCAGTATAAATGTTTAAGTATTAAAATTATAATCTTCATCTAACCTCAAGTACAGAAATAGCCCCGTTAAACCAAAAGTGAATTTTTAAAATATTTTATTTCCGTCCTAAACTTTGAGCTTTACTATTTTGTACTATTTATATATTAATTTATAGTTTAGTTCATGAATGTCTTTAGAGATCAGCAAACTTAAAATGGTAGTATTTTCTTCATGGTTTGACCCTACTTGATAATTTTACTGCTTCCCCAACTACATGTTTTTATGTTCAGTGCCCTTGGTGACAGCCAGTTGATGACAATAGACTGATAATTCTGGCTTAAACAGTTTTATAGCAGTATCCAGTAATAGGAAAAAAGAGAGAAAATATTTCAAATTATTTTCACAACAAAAAGAATATACAGGAAATATCTGGATGAATAATTTTCCTTGTATTTTCCCTGTTTATATCAGGAAATTTTGCCAAAGCTTTCACTGTTAGTGACTAGGAATGAGACCTGGGCCTGGGCTAATTTTGGGAGATTTTGTGATGATGAACTTTGTAACCTGGCACCCGGAAAGAAAATTATCAGCTAAATCGGAGAGTTAGACTAAAGACCCCTTCCAAGTCAAATTCAAAATTTCTGTAATTTTAAGAGATAGCATGGTACAATAGAGCAAGATTTTGTAGTCCAACTAAGCAAGATTCATATCAGTTTAAATACTTATTAGCTCTGTAACTATCAGATACCTTGATACTTGAACTTCAAGTTCTTCATTTGCAAACTGAAATTATAGATACCTAATTAGTAGTATCATTATAAGGTTTGAAATATTCTATATAAAGCTACCAGTAAAGTCAGTAAAGTGATGGCACTTAGTTGTTCAAACAGTGGTCAATGCTATTGCTGATTCTTTTGAGTCAGTGACAAGAATCCTGTAAAATTTATATGAAGAGAGGAATCTGCACTTGACCTAAAGTTGAAGGCTTCAGTATTAGCAAATTTTAGGAAGATAAAGATTTAGAAGTCTGAAGGGGGAGAAGAATATTCTCAGCACAGAGAACTGGCCCCAGTTAATAGCATACAGATCAGTCCCTTCCACATAACCTACTTGATCTTTCCTACCTCTTTTCCTTTCGGCAGGTGAACGTCCCTTCCACTGTAACCAGTGTGGAGCTTCTTTCACTCAGAAGGGCAACCTTTTGAGACACATAAAGTTACACTCTGGAGAGAAGCCGTTCAAATGTCCTTTTTGTAGCTATGCCTGTAGAAGAAGGGACGCCCTCACAGGACACCTCAGGACCCACTCTGGTAAGTGTCACTGACTCTTTGAGAAAAAAGCTAAAATATAAGAATTCAGGAAAGCGTTATAGAATAATACAGAATAACTTATAGCTTTGGTATATAGCTAGGAATGAGCTAGACAATATTTTTGTGTACATTGAATAACTGATAAATTTTGCAAGATGCATATGGCCCTTCCTTTTTTTAGACTTACAGACTTGGCAAAAAGTAGCACTGTCAATGGAAGAGTCTCTTATTTCAAGCTCTTGAAGTAAGGAGACAACTGCTCTGTAGATGCTCTCTGATTTTTAATTTTATAATTATTAATTCAGTAATTATGGTTAATCCAGGATAATGGAAAATCTAGTAAAATATCATAGTTACATGCTAATATTACCATAGAGGAGATGAAACTGTGATATTTTTCAACTGATACAGTGCCCAGGCTGGGACCTCAGTGGGAAATCAAATGTCGCTATTTTTAAACTTGAAAATATTATGCTCATTAGAAAATTGGCTGTTAGAGTATTTTATATTTCATTTAAATGCACCTTGTTTCTTTAACTCTCAAAATACAGTCATTGGATTTTCTCTGAACTTTTCTCTCTTCATAAATCATCATTAAAAAATCTAGAATAAGTGTGATATTTTTAAAATGCTAGAATATAGTACATAAAAGAGCAAGAATGATTAGAAATCTGAATGAATCTCATTTGACTTTTAGCATGAATTGCCATAACCAAGAAGTTAAAGGTGGAAAATTAATATAGAATACTCTCAAGCCAGTTTTATATCCTCCTTCTGTCCATAATGACATTAAAATTTAATTTTAATATGAAGATATGATGGAAGTGATATTTTCATCTACATTGACAAATTGTATTAGAGAGTGCTGTGGATTGTGAGGTAATGCTTGTATTATCTTTTTTTACATTTTCCCTATTAATCCTTAAGGCTTTACTTGGTTTTTAACGTGAATGTGAAATGTGTAAACTATTTTAGACATTAAATTGTAAATTTGGAGCAGTTATAGAAAAATGAAATGAATGCAAATATAAATACAAAATATTTTAAGTATATTTAGTTACTTTCCTCCTTGATTCAAAGCAATTCCCTTATTTCCAACTATGACATTTTATATTTTATTTTAAATCATGCTATGAAAATTACATCTTTATTATAAAAATTATTCTTTATTGAAGGATGTTTTTAAGATGTGACAGTTAATTCCTTTAGCTAGCCATGTACTCTGGCTTATTAAAGCATTATTGAATTGACCATGGATTGTATAAGGCATAAATTTTCATGAACATTATCTATTACATGGAGTTGAGCAAAAAATATAACTTTAAACATCTATTTCATTCTTTACAAAGTTGTGTTACTTTTAATATCATAGTTTAATGTACACATGTTACTGTACCTGGGATTGCTATATTGCCCTTAGAAGGTTCAATGCCTTCAAAGCTCAACCTCTCTGGAAGGCTTTTGATAACTCAGTTTGTGTTGCCTTGATTTCCTTTTTGTTCTTTTAACACATCCATCTGTGTGGGTGGTGTCTCAGATGACACCTTGGTTTTTGTTTCTATTGAACTGGGCAGTTGCAATCATCATCTTTTTTGCAAATTAGTCATGACTTATTAGAGTTTCCTGGTTGGTGGCTAATGAAGTGAGGAATGAGAAATATGTTACTCCAAAAGTAGGCCATTCCCATTGGCTTTCACCAGGCCAGACACTTGACAACACTTACATGGTTCTGTGTAATTATCAAGTTTGTGTGTATAGTGAAGCTGTTTCTGTGAAATTGCATATTTTGTAAATAAATATACTGCTACTTTGAGGTTCAAAAAAATAAAGACATGGACCCTGTAATTGCAATCATGCTATTATTTTGCAATTTGCTGGCTAATTAAAGAGAGTTTAATGGAGCGAGTGAGGAGGGTGTCATCCAGGTACTGCATCATCAACAGGTGATATGAGTTCAGTTATACTTCTCACTATAACCTAAAATATTTGCCATTGCCAATGCTTTTTGTAATAGATACAGCATAAAACATAGCTGCTAAAGTCCGTGCCTCTCCAGTTTGTTCAGAAAGCCCAAATTGATCATTATAGCTTTCTTCTTCTGCTACCAAATCCATCTTTCTCTTACTCTCACCCTCTTTTTTAGCACCTGAGCTGAAAAAGGATTCTTTATCTGATGAGTGACCCAAACCTTAATTTCTACAAATTCTGAGGATTTGATGGTCCTGTTTTCCTTGGATTACTGCAGTTTTTCAGTAACCACGATTATTGGGCACATTTTTTAAAAGAGGTACCCCAGTGAATCTCCTGAGCTCCAAACATAGCAACAATCCAAAACCATCTTGGTAGTCTGGAAAAGTTACCAACCAATAGCCCACTTCTCTCCCTCTTAGTTTAGCAGCTTGAGATGCCCCAGATAGCCAGGGAGTAGTCCAATATGACAGTTCCAGAACTCTGATCCCTGGTGGAAAGAGTCTTCCCTTGGGCACCTAGCCCATACATCAGAGCAGCATACAAACTTGTGCCTCCTTCTTCATGGTGAAATGTGCAAAGTGCAGCCATTTTCATTTATTATAGAGGACCTAATTCAACATGTCTCGACCACCAAACCCATAACATTTCACTAATGCTGTGCTTCTCTGAACTTTCTGGGCAATTATCTCCTGTCCTCTAGCATATATCTTACTGAGGCATCTCAGGTATTTACTACTTCCTGCTCACCATGTCCAGTCAGTACCGTGAATATAATGTTCCAACTTGATGTTCTGTGGGATGTCAAGATGAACAAGATTTCTTTGGACTGTATTGTAACAGAACAGTTGACCTAGCCTTAAGCTAAGATAATAAAAATATGCTGTCCCTGCAATGTGAAGGCAAAGTGCTTCAGATTATCTGTTGATAAGGAATTACTTTCCAAAGAAATTGTTAAGTCAGTATCTCCATACCTGGTATCAGGGGCTATGTTATAGGTTAGTATGTGCCAGTAAAGATATTACAGCTAGAACTGCATCTGTAGTTGGCATTTTGATGTGATTAAGACTACATGCATCCACAGAACCCTCTAGCTTGCGTTAGCCTAATAAACAGTATAAATGGGTGTGTGGTAGGACTCCCCATGACATCTTTCAGTTTTAGTTTGCTATCTTTAAGTCTAGGGCTGTGATCTCCACTGTGGTAGCAACTAGCCTCCTATGGCTAGTGCCACATATTGAAATGATATGTTCTTATTAAATAAAATCTATTAAAATTAATTCCACCTTTTTAAAATGTGGCCACTAGAAAATTTAAAAATACATGTGTGATTCATATTTGCACTGGACAGCTCTGTTCTTGGTTTTTCATGATAGCCATGGGTCAGGGAACCAACATAAGGATTCTTCCCATTACTAAGTTTATTTGTTCCCACAATACTGTAAGATGGACTTGGGTAAACTCTACATACATATCTTGACCTCCATATGCCCCCACTTTGAGCTGGTGGACTACAATGGCATTTTGAGTTCCAGAGATTAATGTGAACTCAGAACTGATCTAATAGACTAATAATCTGTGGTAGGATTTGGTATTTCCTTTTCCTACCATAGAGCCTCTGCCACTCTGAAATCACATATACATTTAAATCAGGGAGGCCAGATCTATTTGCAACATCTATCATTCTCTCCAGCCTAGAGAAGACAATTACCATAAAGCTTTTCAAGCATGCGGCTTCTTTCCTTACCAGTGTAATTCTTTGGTGAAGGGAGTATCCCACTGGCCCTTCCTGAAGTATATAAGTGGCAGGCTGAACGGGGGGTGATTCATTATAGATCCTTTCCATTCTTAGTTATTTGAGCTTTTGTTCTTTTTCCTCTTTGCTATGTTCAACTTTTTACTAATAAGCCATCATTGAATCAAGGATTCAATTAACCAGTCACTCCCACTTGCTCAAGGCAATATATTAAATCTCAAATCCAGGTGAATGCATATATATCGATAAATTTGGCCCAATCTAGCATTTTGGTTCATCTTCTTGGTATAAATCCCTTAAAATCGATTCATTCCCTTACATGCTAACTGGACTCCTGCTGATACAAATTGGCAGTTTTGCAATTCTTTCAGTGTACAGGCTGTCACCTCCTCAATCAGGCCTTGATTTTGGTTATATTAGGATCTAACTTATTATGAGCCTAGGGGCAATGAGAGTTAATAGGAATGAGTCCTGAAAAGAACTGCCATTTTCTGATTGGGTTCTTGCCTCAGCTGAAGCAATCGAAAGTCTTCTTACTTTATGGGAATGCTGATTTATGGAGCATTAGTTTCCTTAGATGGAAAGGTGGGGAGTGAGGACTGTGTCTTCCAGCAAGAGTGGTTTGGAAGTGTTTGGGGGTTCAACATTCTGAGCCTTAGTATTTGATCTGATAGTATCATTCCATGTTTCACTAGTCCATTGCCAAGACCTAGTTGTATTGGTATTGCCCATTTTATTTAGTACAGCAATTCAGTAACCCTTCAAATCAGATTCTGGAGTTGGTTTTCAGCCTTATTTGCCCTGAGGCTTAAGTAAATAAGGACTCTTTTAAAGCTGACAGAGGACTTTGATATTCCAACTTCTGCTCTGACATGAAGTGAGCATTCAAGACCTTCAAACTGTCCTTTCTCCTTTGTATAATCCTTAGGGCCTTCAGAATTAGCCATATCACACTACAGTCTTCACTCTACACACCACCATTGTCACTTAAGCAAGTAAAGGCCACATGCTACCAGCAGTAATCATTTGGGTAATCATATTGCCAGCAAATACCTAGAATTAGTTTTCCATTAACTCCCCAGTAAGAAAGCCATTCTGTTCTCTTCAAATTGAGCAACTCAGTGCTGGAATGCCATTTTGACTCTCTGAGGCCTTGGGGCCACTCTTGCTACCAGTAATTATCAATCAAGGCCCTGACATGAGTAATGAGACACTCAAAGGGGAAAAATTTGGAGACATTCATCGTAATACTTACAAGAGAACAGTGAGGCATAAA